TATATTTAAACAATGCTGCTGATGTTGGTTTCAGACTTTTAATTTGCTTCCGCTACTATCTTACCTGAACGTGGTTTGTAATAACTTTAATTCATACTCTGATGGATGAACTGTATTTGTGAACTTTATGTAACGTGTGACATGTATGTTGAATCATGTACGATCTTGGTTGTATGTTGATGGTTAATCGAGACCCTCATGGTACTCGATGGACTACCATGTTTATATGGGCTCAAGTATGACAGTACGACTGCTTGCGGGCTACCATTGTACTTGTGCTCTTATAAATTGGTCGGTTCTGCTACAGCTGGTATCAGGGCAAGATTCAACATTAATTGCCACATGTGTATTTAAAACAAAGGTTTTTGTTTTTCCAAAACCGGTTTTGGCAACTGATAGATATATATAGGTGTTTGAACCTAAAGTTTGAATCTAAAGTGTGCCAGTGATCACTTCCTTTATGCCCAGTTAAGGATTTCAGGTGGCTAATTAAGTACTAACTTGGGGGTTTTTAATTTCGTCGTCCATACGGCATGCTATTGTATGGATGCCATTCACTTGAGTGGTAATGTATGGATCAAATGCCTCTACGCCCAAGGTAAGATGCCACTCATCATCACAGTGGCATGACCGCAAGATGTGAGCATGTGGTGTAATGGGGAGAGTTAGCTTTGATACTAAAGTGTATATATGCCTTATATATATAAGGAAGTATTTAATTGTGGGTTAGCTTTGAAATGGCTATATATGCATATTTATATGTATATATAGGATGTATTTACTCTCGGGTAACTTTGATGCGGAAGTATATATATATGGAAGTATTTAGCTTGCAACCTAGAGCCTAGATTTTTATTTTCTGCATATATACTTGTGGGGTTGGGCTGAAATGATTTTTTTTTTTTGAAAATATGGCAGGAGCTCTGCCTTTCAATTAAGCGGGAAAAAGATAGTTTATGTACAAGCTAAGATAGTCGAGGAAAGGAAAAGAAACCTCCCTCCTCCCCCCCTCAAGCGTGTAAACACCCGCCCACCGGAGAGGGTCATCTGCTACCCATACTCAATTGCTCTCTTCCTTTGCTCTATATCCTCCTTTATCTTTGAGGCCACTGCCGCAAAGATTGTATGCATCTCGTTGTCGAAGATTCTCCTATTTCTTTCTTTCCAAGCGTTCAGAAGGTGTAGATTATTGTCCCGTTGAGCCTCCTATGTTACGATCTTGGCACTTTCGCCGTCACCTCTTCCCACCATGATCGACATCGGTGGGTTGCACACAGGGTTCTTCTTGGATCTGAGGGAAGTTCTCCCACGATAGGATATGATTCCAAACCCCTTGAAGAAGGGGCAACATAACATAGGTGGAGGCCGGTCTCTAAAGGGCCATTGCAGAGCACACATTGTTGATGGTGTGGCCACCTCTCTCCTCAGTAGGTTTTGTGCCGTTAGAATTTTATCTTGCACTAAGATCCAGGCAAAAATCTTGCATTTGTTCTCCACATGCGCCTCCGGATCAACTCTTGTCTTGAATGAGGCGAGCGAGCCTCCCGAAGGCTTTGATCCTGTGAGGGCCGAGCGGGTGGAGTATTTCCCGTCACCGGTCCACCGCCAGTGATGGTGTCTGGGCGCCTTCTTTGCAAGTGCACTTCTTGTATTAAGTATCCAAAGGGACACGAACTCCTCCATGTGGAGCGGAGGTGGTGATTTTAAATGCAGTAGCTTTTATGTATCCAATTGTTGTTAGGAGCTCTTGTTTCACCGTTCGGTTTTTCCTTGAAATTAGGCAAAACAAGTTTGGTGCTAAGTACCTAGGCGCGTGTCCATCGAGGCAGTTTTGGTGCCAAAAACTAGTCTTTGCACCATCCCCAAAGTTATAATGATTGAGGAGTTGAAGAGGAGGCGGTCAACATCGAGCATGGAAGCTCAGAGCCGTTCCAAGGCTTGTGGTCGTCCATCCATTCCTCGCCAAAGCCATCGTGAACCGGAGGGCTCTCCCAAATCTATCAAGGTCGATGATGCCTAACCCACCCGAACTTTTGGCACAGTAACAGTTGGCCAATTAACAAGGTAGTGTCCACCATTGGCGTTCTCCTCCCCTTCCATAGGAGCGATCTTCCCGATTTTGTCAATCTTTTTCTTAGCCCATGCAGCTAGAGGAAACATTTGTGAGGTGGTAGGTTGGCATGGAGGAGAGAGACGAGATGTTACAAGAGTGAGACGTCCCGCTCTGTTAAGCCATCTTCCTTTCCATTTGGGTAACCCTCGCCTAATACGGTCTATGAGAGGTTGCACGTGTTTTTTGCAATGCTCGATGTGTAGCTGCAGGCCCAAGTACTTGCAAGGGAAGGTCCCTCTGTGACCGTCGAAGGGTGAGAGGGCTTGGTCTAGATTGACGTCTGCCACGGTGATTAGGTGTACTGAGCTCTTTTGTAGATTGATATGTAGCCCCGAGAATGAACCAAAAGCGTTTAGGATGGCTTTGATGGATTGAACATCGTCATTTGTGGGGTTGATGAAAATTTGGCATCATCCGCATACATTGAGGTTCTCCATTTTGCCGCTATTGGAAGGGGTGAGTACCCTTGTTGGTTGCCGGTCAGTACCGTTGAAGCGGGTCCATAGCAAGGATGAACAACATGGGTGATAGCGGGTCTCCTTGAGCGGACACCTCTTGCATGGCTAAAGGGGTCCCCTGTCGCCCATTAATCAATGGTGTGGAAGTGGATGTACGCAGGAGGATAGAGATCCATTCTCGCCATCATTGTCCGAAGCCTAGGGCTTGCAGAATCTCAAGCAGGTACCCCCAATGAACCGTATCAAAAGCCTTGTGGATGTCTAGTTTCATGAATAAGGCCGGTATCTTTTGCTTGTGCAACCTTTGAACCGTGCCCTAGACGTATAGGAAGTTATCATGGATGCTTCTCTTTTTTATGAAAGCGCTCTGGCAATTAGAGACAAGTTGGTTGAGTCGGGGGGCAAGTCTGTTTGCTAATACCTTAGAGAAGATCTTCGCAATGCTGTGGATGAGGCTGATGGGTCTAAAATCAGTAACTCTTGTTGCATCTGCCTTTTTGGGTAGTAGGATGATGGAAGCCGAATTTAGCCATTCGAAACCCTAGGCGTTCAAGTTGAATAGGCTGTTCAGTGCCGCCATTATATCGTCCTTAATGATTTCCCAACACGCCTTGAAAAAGGCCCCCGTGAAACCATCTGGTCCTGGTGCTTTGTCGGAAGGCATGGAAAAAATATTGTATTTTATCTCTTCACGGGAGAAAGGCAACTCTAGATTGAGAGATCGTGTTGGTTGTATCCAAGGATTGCCAATTTAGTGTGGAAACTCTCGCTGCGTCATGGCGCTAATGTGATTTTTAAAATACTCTCGAATGACCTTTTCTTTCTCTTGATGATCCACCGACCCCCCCATCCATCCGTATGTAGACAATGTATGTAATTCTTTCTCGGCGTGCATTTGCTCGAGTGTGGAAGAACTTTGTGTTAGCATCCCCACATCGAATGTACGTTAGTCTTGCTCTCTCTGTCGATTCTTGATTTTTCGATGGTCATGAGTCCAGTCTTTGCTTTGAGCTTTGAGGCGACATAGGTGAAGTTCTATGGCGTTGAGCAACCTATGCTCTTGGGCTGCTTCTAATTGTAGTAGCACTTCTTTCACTATGGCGAAAGCTGCATCCTTGTATCCCCTATCTTCTCTTTCTTCCAACGCTTGATGCCTTTTGCCACACGCGCCATTTTGATGTGTAGCGTTTGATCGGAGAGCGGTGGCGACCGGTCTATTCCAAATGTCGTGAACAAGATCTTGGAAGCCGTCCATCTTAGTCCAGTAATTTTCAAAGCGGAAGGAAGCGGTGTGATTGTGGTCAAGTTGTCCTTGGAGTAGCAGCGGTGTATGGTCCGACATGAGCGAAGGTAGGGAGTGCAAGAAACATGATGGGAAGGACAGCTCCCACTGGGGGGTACATAGTAGTCTATCGATTCTAGTGAGCGTGGGGTTTTGCTGTTGATTGCTCCAGGTAAATCTGCGGCCATTTAGCTTGATTTCTTTGAGTCCCAAATGATCGATCGTCGCTCTAAATGCCCCCATGAGACGTCGGTTTAGATTGGCGTTGTTTTTATCTTCCGCCTGGTAGATGAGGTTGAAATCTCCGAGGATGAGCCATCTATCATTCTCCGGCGGCGGAATGTTTTTCAGTTCTTGGAGGAATTGAAGTTTGGCGTCCTCCCTTGCGGCCCATATACCACCGTAATTTGCCACGTTTTTCCATACGCCCTCATCTTGATTTGCTTGCGGTTATAGTGTTCGCAGATAAGTGCAATGTCGGAAAGGTCGAAGAAGTCTTCGTTGACCGCCTTGGGAAGATGCCTCCACGTGTTTGTTCCACTTTGAGGAGCACACTATAGGAGTTTTCAAATTTCGCTCCGATGCACGGTGAACCACATTACGTTCCATAGCTTGCATCTTTGTTTCTTGTAAACATACAATGGTGGCGCCGGTAGTTCTCACGAGCTCACTAACCAAGTCCTCGTCGGGCGCCATCATTTAGCCCCCGACGTTCCAATTAAGTACACAGCAATTCAATTGTGCCATATGTCAACTAATGGTACCCTACGCACAATAATTCTTGGGAGTAGGCAAGTCGGAAGCCATTTGTTGGTTCAATTATAGGCAATAGGCATCAAGGTAAGCCCACAATGGCAAAAGCACACACTGATTACGAGAGCACCAACTCTTAGTGGTCGATATAACCGAAAAGTCATTGGGTTGTCGGCACAACGATCTGAGCACTTCCTCCTCCACACGTTGAGTTTTTGATACATCTAACTACCAGGTGACGGTTTGTTGCAGTTGGGTGGGATGGCGACTGTAGGCCTCTGGCTGTCGCCGAACCCAAGCGGTACACAAAAGATGTGGAGCTCGAAGAGCTTCCGCCGTGGCAAATGATTACTACCATTATTACAACGGGTGACCCATTTGCGACATCCGTCATCTAGGCATGCGGCAGCGCATCGTCGGCGTCGAGGCCACACAGAGCCGTCATTGCCTTCACGGCGTCGTCATTAGGTGGTCCCTTGTACAAGTCGAAGTAGCACAGCAACGCGTCGTCATGGCTGGGTCCTCCCCTGTCGAGGATGCCCAATCTTTTCATCAGCACCAGCCTTGCCCTCGCTTGGGTGTCACCCCTTTGCCAATTCATGGCGGCTATGCGGACGCTTCTTCGCGTCGATAGCAGGGGCTTCTTGCGTCGATTTGGTGTGCTGTGCTGACGCGGCTGGACTTGCAAGATGGGTGGAGGCAGGGATTGTGAAATTCCCTATAGGAAATCAGATACCAGAGCCTCATTGGCGTTCGTCGTTTGGCCGGCATTGTTTACCTCCTCGGCGTTGGCGTTCTGTTCCGGGCGCAGTTGTTGAAGTTCATTTGCCATGTGTGTGCGGCTGGGGCTATTGCTGGACAACCCGCGGACACGGCGCCTGGAGTAGACCGCGCCAGGGCGGAAACGCACCACCTGGGCGTTTCTGGCCTGCTTTGTGTGGGCGCGGGGCGTGCGGAGAGGGCCTGGCCTCCTGGCGTAGACCTGGCCCATGCGGAAGCGTCGGTCAGCCGCGAGGCGTGCACGCTGCTGTGTCACGACGTCGCGGTCATCGGTGGGGGGAACCTGCAGTTCATTCATACAAGTAGGAGATACGATTCCGGTGAGGTGCCCCGAAGAGGAGTCGTTAGTTGGTTCGTATGTGCCGTGTGCAGCGGCAACTTGAGGGTCGTTCGGTTCGCAGGTTGGAGGGGCAGAGACCAAAGGGATGATGGGCAAGTCGTTGCATTGACTTTGCTCTGCACGCACCTTGGGAGGGCTTGGCGACGGGTGGTGGTTGCTGCCGTTGCCTCCGTTGAAGTCTGGTGACTTGCAGCGCAGGCGCGGCAACGGTGATTTTGAGCGCGACGTCGTGTTCCTCGGCTCCGAGCACGCGCGCCTGTGCGGCCTACGGCGGGTTGCCCTTTCCCTGCTTTGTCCCCTGGCTCTGCGGAGGGCATCAGCCGGGTGGATGACGAGGTGCAGCCGAGCCCCCGTGCCAGCATCTGCAGCGTCGCCTTGGGTCGGTTGCCGTGCACCCTTGCGGGCCGCGTCACCGCCTGTGGTCGTCTGGCGATCCCCGCGGCCGTCCCCCACGTCGCTGTGCAGTGGTTGTCGGCGACCCCCACGTTCCAGACTTTGGTGTCGGCGGCCACCGTGCCTGGACGCCGAGTGTTCCCGCTCGCGGTCCGTTGGCGCCCGCGATAGGCTTCGGGTGAGCCGCGAGTACCACCTGTCCCTGTGGCGTTCACGACGCCCACGATGGTCGTTGTCGTTGTCGCGGTTGCCGCCACGGGTGTCAGCCGGTGGAGGGTCGTGGCGGTCGCGCGGCATCCTTTCTCCATCCACGATCCCGTAGTCCCACGTGAAGACTCGGGGAGCAGCGGCCCGGCCGTCTCTGCCCAGAGGGTCCTCCACCAAGTCAAGGTGCACCAGCACCCTGAAGGTGAGTCCCCGACGGCCGTGGGTATCCTACGAACAGTGGGCCTCCTTCTTTCTGCATGACAAAGTCAGCCAGGTTACCTTTGGGATGTCAGACGGGTTGTGCGTCTAGGCCCAGACGTAGAGTGCCCTGGTGTCGGCATGGTCCAGCGAGGTCTTCTCTACATAGTCGATGTCGCAAGCTCTAGCGACCGCCCTCTTGGCAATGCTCTCGCTCCAGGCGTGGAGGGGGATGCCTTCGAGGCATAGGCGGACGCGGAACTTGAGGTCGCAGATTTCGCCGTGTGTCACCAGCTGCCATGGCCTTGTGTGGATGTCGAGGTTGCGATAGGGGAAGGTCCCCCGCGACACTGCCTCGTCGCGGTGGTGCCGGTGCTTGAAGTCGACGAAGAAGTCCTCGGGCGCGTGCCTGACGACGGAGACATCTTCCGGACGAACTGGAAACTGGTGGCAGATGGCCCGCTTGATGATCTCTAGCTCAACCACCGGGCGGTTCCCCCCCAGCTAGGCCACCATGCCATGCATGGAGAGGCGGTCGAGCTCCTGGTCCATTGAGTCTACGGAGAGAGCCACTGCACAGGTGTCCAGGGGACGGACGGAGGGTCCCGGGCCTGGCCATGCTGCTCGCTTGCAGAGGTGGGAAGTTTGTTTCGTCGAGGGGAGGAGGAGCAGCCTTGGGCGGTGTTGGTTGCTGCCAGGCGGTTGAAGATCTTGTAGCGCACACATTGCTTTTATGTCCCCAATGACACGACGAGAACCAACAAGACGGGTCCCTACAGTCGCCATGGCGTGGTGGGCGTGAGCGAGGCGTGAAGCATTTACCTCATAGCGCCGCAGCAGCTCCACACTGAGGTGATGACACGCTGAAGTGACCTGGGTGGTTGAGGGTGTTGAATGCGCCTTGGTCTTGAACCCGGGGAGACGCCACCAGTATTGCGGGCGCACCATATGCAGGTACACTAACAGTGAAATGTGTAGCCCGACTAGCTATGTTATATATGAGAGAATGCATGTATGCCACCGTGTATGTCGTTAGAAGTTTAATTTTCCTAAGTTTGTGAGGACGTACGAAATGTACATGCATCATGATGAATCATTCATTACACACTTGCATTGTTCCTCCCCTTATAAGTCTCTTATTTGGTTAAGTAACTCTTTTCTAGTATAACATTGTCTCATGAGAGTTGCACCATGTTGTTGGTATAGATGGTAGCACCAGCTAGAAGTGAGAATTTCCTATTGATGTTTGGTAACTCTGCCCTACTTTGGAGAGTCTTGCATTATGCGGGGTATTGTGAACCGCCCCTCTATTACTGGAATGAAGTATACCTAGAGGGACAACCATGGTATGAAGTACAGCTGACCATACTAGCTCATAACCAAGCACCCTTCTAGCAGGAATGGAGGGTAGAATCTGAAGGAAGAACTCCTTGGGAGGTTACCCAAGTAGTGGCCTTTGAGATGCTGAGTCAGATATGTCAGCAGCACGGGGATGAGATTACCGGCAGTACTACTGGTACTTTTCCTTGGATGGATCCATCCACAATAGTTTGAGCACAGTGCAACCACAATGCTTTGATCTGAGACAAGGATGAGCGGGAAGATAGTTCTAGTCCTGCTATGAGTGCAATATTTGCAGTGATGAAGATGTTCTATACTCGTCAGGACACCAGGGACTTCTGGCAGGAGTCCTATACCACTTGCATGGATAGGCTCATGAGATCTGAAGCTACACAGCGTAAGCTAAGGAAGCATGTGCGCAAGCACAAAAAGGCAGCAAGTGAGGCTCGATGGGAAACTGATCAGGCATATGTGGCATTAGAAAATCTCCACACACAAATGGAGCAAGTTGATCAGTAGAGTGTTGCCACCCAAGAGGCAAGAGAGGATGATCAGGCAGTGCTAGTAGGACTACAGGGAACAGCTAGAGGCCGCTAGTGCCGAGGTGCTCATAGCTATACGCCAGTGGATCCAAGCAAACAACCGTGCAGCCCTAGCAGAAGTAGTACGAAATAGAGCTAAAGCCCTAACCGTGCAGCAGGACCATGTTGAGAGGGACTTGCACCAGCAGCTTGCACAAACCTAGAACATAGTGGTTGATCTTCAGCATGAGGTGCATTTTCTGAACAACCAACTACACCCGATCCTTAATGAGGGAGAAGAAGATCCAGAAATGATGGTCGAAGATAATGGTTGGGAGGATGATGAAGCGGAGCTAGAGGATGAGGATGATGCTATCTCCAACCTCGACAGTGAGCATGCTGAAGATTAGAGTCACCTAGTGACTAGTTAAAGCGCTAAATGTATCCCTGTTATTCCTGTAATGGACTTGTAGTTTGAACTTCAGTACTCATGATGTAACTTCGGTGTAATATTGGTACTTTGCATGTTAATCCATGATGGATTGAGCTTTGATGAAATTCTAGTTTTGTTTTACTGGTGGATTATGACATGCATATTAACGCGTTGCGAGTACGATAAGTGATCTAATTGGTGATGTCATGTTGCGAGAATGAATTATTATGCCTCTATTTTATTGTATGAATTTAAGATTCTCTCCAATAATTTTAGTTTGGCATGATTACACAATTCATCTACAATCTCCTGACATCATCCAATAATCACTTATTGTTGCAACTTTGCAGATGACTCGCACTCGCGCTAGGGCAGGCACCAGCCAAGGTGGCAACGACGGTGACTTACCACCACCGCCGTCACCATCTGCGAATGAATTCTTCACACAGTTCCTGGGTAATCAGAGAGCCATGGAGGATACACTACGCCTCATTGCGCAGAACACCACTGATGCCCATTAGCAACATCAAGGGCCTAAGCCAAATCAATATAGCTCTTTCAAGGATTTCCAGGACACCAAGCCTCCTATCTTCAAAGAGCCCGAAGAACCGCTCTAGGTGGATGAATGGCTTAACATTATAGAGCAGAAGTTCCTTCTATTGAGGTTTATTGAGCATCAGAAGGCTGAATATGCGTCCCATCAACTGTAGGGACCGGCCAGGATATGGTGGACCCATTTCCTATACTCTTTACCTGACAACTCATAGGTCACATGGGAGCAGTTCAAGTTAGCCTAGAGGGGACATCACATTCCCCCGTGGCTAATGCGCATGAAAGCAGCTGAGTTCATGCAACCCACACAAGGGACCAAGACCCTTACCGAGTACATGCATGCCTTCAACAATTTGTCCCGATACGTCCCAGGGTTCGTCGATACTGAGGAAAAGAAGATAGAAAGCTTCAACAGAGGCCTTGGTACCAAGCTAATGAAGACCATGGCCAACTCGAGGTGTACCACATACAATGAGTTCATTAGTGATGCCTTGACCCAGGAGAACCAGAGCAATTTGCGTGCAGCAGCAAAGGGCCGCAAAAGAGCAACTGAGGCAGGCGCCTTAGGATCTTCCCAGTCTAGAGCCCCAGTGGTGGCTAGGCCACAGTTTCGTCCATCAGCGCCTAAGTTAAGGCCTCCTCCGCCAAAAGCTTAGGTCAATCGCCCCCAGAAGACATTCCTCAGGGCATTCACCATTGCCCTACCCAAGGGAAACAAAGGGCAAGGAAGCTCAGCAGGACCAAGGAACAATCAACCATGCTTCAACTATAACCAGTTGGGCCATTGGGCCAAGGAGTGCCCCCATCCCAAAGAAGAATGGCAATCATAACCAGGGTAATCAGAAATAGGACAATCCTAAAGCATGTCCTGGGTACGTGCATTACATAATTGTTGAAGAATTTCCCATGGGAGAAGTTGTCACCACCGGTATGTTTCTTGTTAACAAACATCCCACCATTGTTTTATTTGATTCTAGAGCTTCTCATTCATTTCTGAGCCAAGCATTTGCATCTAAGTATGATTAGAAAATAATTGAGGTAAACAAGGGTGGTTATAGTATAAGTTTAGCTGGGGCTACTATCTCTACAAATTAGATAGTCAGAGATGTGCTCATCTCTATACAAGAGAGGGAGTACACAGTGGATCTGATAGTATTGCCCGAATTAGCCATAGATGTGATCTTAAGCATGAAATGGATGAGCGGTCATGGGGTTCTCATTAACACTAGCACTAGAACAATTATGTTGAGAGAACCAAAGGGAGGTAATGCTTTTCTAGTACCACTTCCCCGAAGTTTTGATCTCCAAAACTTGTCTTGTGCTATCCAAGCCACTACCATTTGTGATATTCTAGTGGTTTGTGAGTTTCCTGATGTATTTCCAGATGAGTTGTCGGGTCTACCGCCTAATAGGGATGTGGAATTTAAGATTGAGTTAGTGCCAGGTACGACACCTATCTCAAGAAGACCCTATCGGATGCCACCAAATGAGTTAGCTGAACTTAAAATTCAGTTACAAGAACTATTGGACAAAGGTCTCATTCGACCTAGTTCATCTCCATGGGGATGTCTAGCTTTATTTATAAAGAAGGACAAGTCCTTGAGAATGTGTGTGTATTATAGGCCGCTTAATGCTGTGACCATTAAGAACAAGTATCCTTTGGCCCATATCGATATCTTGTTCGATTAGTTGACAAAAGTAAAGGTATTCTCTAAGATTGACTTGAGGTCAAGCTATCATCAGATTAAGATCAGGCTAGAGGATGTACCTAAAACAACTTTTTCCACTAGGTACGGTTTGTATGAGTATTTGGTCATGTCTTTTGGAATAACAAATGCTCCTACCTACTTCATGTACTTGATGAATTTGGTACTCATGCCCGAACTCGATGAGTTTGTGGTTGTGTTTATCGATGATATCTTGATTTAGTCGGAGAATGAGGCAGATCATGTAGAGCATCTGAGAGTTGTTTTGTCTAGATTGAGGGAGCATAAGTTATATGCCAAATTCAGCAAGTGTGAATTCTAGTTGAGCAAAGTACCTTT